TTCTTTCTCAAAATCTTATTCTTCCCCCTCATCGTCTCTCCTCTTCTCACTTTCTTCCCCTCACATTGATGAGGACCAACCAGTAACTGAATTCAATTAAACCAACAATCAAACCTAGTGTTTATTGGGTGCGCTTGTATCTAATAATTTGGGTTAAAACCTAAGTAGTGAGTTTGGGTTTTTAGAAAAAGAAAAAGGATTTTTTGAGTTTTTTATCAGTTGTGTTTTTATTGTTTGATAATTGTAGAGAATTAATTGATGAATAATATAATTATTTTTCATTAAATTGATTATTTGATTTAGAAAATTGAAAATGAATGTGGACACTGAAGGAGCTAAGAGAGAGAAAAAGAAAATTTTTAATTTTATTTAATCAAAATTAATTAGTATAATGACGATCTAATTAGAATGGTGTGGGCCCCACTTAAAAAATTTTTAATTTAATAAAAAAGTGCCATTTTGAATTGCCACGTCAATAAAAATAGTGGATTAACAGCCACAATTAACGGGAAAAAAATTATAGTTCGAAATGAAAAATAGTGCAAAAAAATAGTTTATGGGCTAAAAATGTTTAAAATTAAAAGTTGAGGGATTAATTTTTGACATTAACCAAAAAAATTCTTAATGTATTCTATTTTCAAGTTTGTTTAGGAAGTAATGTATTCCCGAGTATATGCCAAGTTTAAAATATGTATATATATAGACATGATTTTAACTTTAATTATCTTTTTTTTTTAATATAAATTTCTTTTGACTTATTTAAGAAATCTAATGAAGAGATAATGAACATTGAAATTATTTAAGGGAGTAAGACTGTGGTTTGTGAAATTATGGACGTAAAATAATTTATATAATATACATTATTTCCTTTAAAAGAGAAAATATTTGATTTAATTAATTTCTTTCTGTTTTATGATGCTTTATTAATAAAAACCTTCCCAAAGAGGAGATGTAATGTATCTAAACAAAAATTCTTATAATAGAGAGAAAATAAAGAGCTTAGGCTTTATCTTATCAAGGTGAAAGATGAAAATGGATCTCGTCCAATGTGCCATTCATTGTTTTATAGGGGTAGGCAAACCTGGCAAAAACATTTCTAAAAATGGAGGAGAATTTTCGAAGCACGCACCCACGGTTGATTGCTTGATTCTCGGTACAAAAATGGTCAAAAGCAGCCATACGTATACCAAAAACAAAAATGGTCAAAAGCAGCCATACGTATACCAAAAACAAAAATGGTCAAAAACAGCACATAGCTCCTTGGTTTGTTTTTGTTTTCATCATGTGTGATGTATAACATGGAAAAATTACGCCTCTAATCTCTTCCTTTTTGTTTCTTTTCTTTTCTTTTCTTTTTTTTTTTCCTTTGAATATAAAAACCTCACATTAAAAATAAATTAAAAAAAGGGGAAATGATGAGGATTAATTGATCAATTACCACCTAACAACCACTTCGGGTAAGCAAGTAAAATGATTAAAATAGATTCATCTAGATACTAGACAAAAAAGGCAATCATTACAAAGGAAACAACTTGATTTTTGCATAACCCCACACGACCACGTTCAAATGAATCATCATCAGGCTAATCAACTAACAAACGTTTGTAACCCTCACTCTTTTAATGTTACAAACATTAGGCAACTCCATTCCCCTAAGAATTTAGCAAAGTTCAAGTAATTTCATGGATGGATATATCTAATTTGATTGGTTTATAAGTATGTGGTTTATTTATTTATTTAATATTAAATTATATGATAAGAAATAATATCTTTTTATTTTTTAACTTACTTTATTTTTATGTTATGTAAATTTAATTTAAAATCTTTTACCTTCGTAAAAAAGAGATTTTCCTTGAATTATTTCAATTATTGAAAATATGTAATTTATATTTTTGCAATATTGTTAACACCTGGCTTTCTTGGCATTTGGCTTTATTTTTTCTTTCATGGTTCTTTTGCTTAGTCATATGTTGTCAATTGATTTCAGTATATTTTCATGCAATATAGAAGAAGATGAATCAAACTGTGGAATAAAAATTAGAGATAAGAAGAAATGAATTTAAAATAGAGCGTGAGAAGTTAGGAGATGTGAGACTAAACTGAAAAAAAAAAAAAAAAGCAAAAAGAAAAAGAAAAAAGATGTTATTTATTTAGAAGATAAATAGGTTGACTCAAGGGTTGATCCATATTTGTGTTGGGCCGGTTAATGTCAAGTTTTTAGTAATTTGCAGCCCATTAAAAACTTTTACATGTACCCAAACCGACTACATTTTTGGGTACTCAACTCCTTTGTTGGGTTTC